AAGCTTTGGTATAATAAAATGTGCAAGATGCCGGTGGTTGAGTCGTGGGTATGAAGAGAGTCTCTCACAAGTGCCTTTAGAGGAATCTGTCGTCGTCCGTACTGAATATATTCCGTCTTAGAATTTTCTCAACCGACCAGGTGGGGCTTGCCGAACGGCAACTTCCCCTGATAATCACGTGCTTGATGACGTGAGACGCGTGGATACCACATACACGGAACGAGGCATGAATCACAAAATCATCAGCATAACGACAACAGATAAACTTTTTTCTTCATCTTCTTCGAAGAGCAACAAGCAGTGCTCAGCCAGTCATATATTTTAACGCACACTGCTGCAATAAGAATCCTCGCATCTGGGCTGCATTTCGAGCTAAGACATGTGACTAACATCATACTGAGATGTCTTGAGAAGTTGAGATGTATCAGGTTGTTCGACCACGACCAGGTGGAACCGTCTATACGCCAACTCTCGCGGAGGAATATTCCAATTTCCATCTTCGTCCTCGCTTTCCTTTCTCGGACGGCACATGATCGATCGCAGCCTAGATCTGCGAGCAATTACACAAGCGCCCGTTTTTCCTTCAGCACCTCACTGCAGCCGCGCACAGGACATACCATCTTGCGCTGGAGAAGTTAGAACTATCTAGGGTCTAATCATAATCTACCGCATATTCTTACCACTGGAACTACTGGACGGCCAAGCTGCCATCTAGGCATTTGACATCATGAAGCTGGACGCCACGGATCTGAGGTATCTCACCTCTGAAGAGTTTCGGGTTCTCACAGCGGCAAGCCATCGTGCACTAAAATTTTCTGTATAGGATAAGCTAACGTGCAGAGGCTAGGTTGAGATGGGCTCCAAGAACCACGAAGTAGTGCCGACACCGCTCGTTGTCCAGATCTCGGGCCTCCGAAATGGGGGTGTGAACAAGGTCTTGGGCTCCCTGGCCAAGCGCAACCTTGTCGCAAAAGTGCAGAACGCGCGATGTAGGCCCCTTTTCCGCTATCCCAGCAGAGTTCCTAATAACCTCTTAGATGACGGCTATCGCTTGACCTATGGCGGCTACGATTACTTGGCCATGCGGGCGTTGTCGAAGAGGGATACCATGTATTCTGTAGGGAACCAGATTGGGGTCGGAAAGGAGTCAGGTGAATGGCGCGACCTCATCCCTCTTTTCCCAACGACGCTAATGACCTATGACAGACATCTACATCGTCGCAGATAACGAAGGGAAAGAGATGGTCCTCAAGCTTCACCGGTGCGTCATAGCTGCAGTTAGGCTCGCACAAAATTGGCTCACCCGACCCGCCCGCAGACTAGGCCGGATATCGTTCCGCTCGGTCAAGGAGAAGCGTGATTACATGGGCAAGCGCAAGTCGGCGTCGTGGATGTACATGTCACGTCTCGCCGCACAAAAAGAATACGCCTTTATGAAGGCAAGCATATCTTTTAGTCATTGCCGGCCTGGTCTTACGGACACTTCGACAGGTCCTTTACGAGCATGACTTCCCGGTGCCTCGCCCGATAGACCAGGCACGGCACACGATTTTGATGGAGTTCATTGATGCGTACCCTCTGTGACGTGCCTGTGTCACCAGCCCCATTTCGT